GTTTGGTATCCGTTAATCTCAAACAGTTAAATAAAAAGTTTTATCAAATATTTAGTTTGTAACTACTTCGAAATAAATAATTTTATTAAATATCTATTTTTAGCAGTTGAGATAAAACTGCTAACCACTACTTTCAAACTATTATACACAATGGATCATTAATGATTCAATGAATAAAGCTTAGATGATGGAAGGATGAAAATGAAACATTCAGTCATTTATATTGTTCATAATATGTTTTGTATTTTATTTATTTGTTTATTATTATTTATTATTATGGGTTGCACTACATTCGTTTACTATATACTGCGCGTATGTACAATTTATACTAAGACCTTTTATATTTTTTTAAAAATTATTATTGAGTTATTTAAGTTATTTTTAACATATATTTAAGTTGTTATTATTAAGTCTTCATAATCATTTCTTAAATGAATTTAAGTCTTGATATATGTGAAAAAAAAACTTTCTTAAACCGTACAAATGCAAGTTAATATTAATGTTTAGTACATGTGTGTACACGTACATGCAAAGTCCATAATATCACTAACCATAAGAACATGAAATTGAAAAAGAAAACATGTCACATGCGTTTCTCCCTTATCTATTTCCCTTGGCCTTTAACAAACTCTAGAACCCCACCACCGCCTTACTCCTCAAGACTTTCCATGTGGAAACGGAAAAGGGAAAACGAAACCATTTTCTCCATCTTTTCTTTAGAGCCAGTGAAATCGTATTAACATTAATTCTGTGGAGGTACAGGCTAGGTGGTCCATTCCATTTACTACTGCAAATTAAAATAGAGCCTGGCCTAGTCCAGTTGTCTTACCATGATTCTGGACTGGACCCTTGGGCAGTTGAGCTGAGTCCTTTACCGTAATTTGGGGCCTTCTAGAAGTTGTTTGTTTCTTATGTTTGTCTGCTTCTTGTTCTTTCCTTTTTGTCTTTTTGCAAATTTTGAATTCCTGATCATTCAAAATTGGAAGGAATTTCTCTACCAAAACTTGAGGAGAACTTTCCAAGAATTAAAGTCAAGAAAGATTAATTTGCATATAAAGTAAGCAACTTAATTAATAAAATACATGTTCTTTCTTCTGTTCATATACACGAAATATGTTCAAATTGCTTTAATAATCAATACAATTGAAAAAAAAAATATTACTTTTGTAGGAATTTCTCATTGTTGTTTCTTCTGTTCATATATAAGATATATGTTTGATTCGTCTCAATAACCAATATGGTTAAAAAAAAGATTATTTTTGTAAGAATTTCTCATTGATATAAACCAGAGGAAGAAGAATTAGAAAGAGAAGAAAGAGACAAAGCTACATTGTAATTTTGACAATGGATGAAATTATAACATGGCTCACATTTCACTAATAATGGACTCAATCAACAAATTCCTAGAACTCTTCATCAATCCAGGACTCAACCTAAACATAAGAGTGCAGAACTCCATTTCATCAAGATTTCCATCTCCATTCAAGTCACCTTCCCTCAGCATGCAAACCACCTCCTCATCGCTCATATCTTGCAACCCAAGCAACTCGGAGTTCCTCTTCAAGCTCTCAAAAGTGATCACTCCCTTCTCCCCATCCATCAACAACCGAAACCCATTACACAGCTCCTTCATGAACCCCTCAACACCTAGTTTCTCCACCATGGCCGGAAAAAAGTCCTCAAAAACAACCCCATTTTGCGATCCCATTATCAAATAGAGATGGGTGTACAGGTCTCTAACGATGAGTTCAAATAGAGGTATACATATAAGGTATTTATATATAGGGCGTAAAGAGAATAAAGCTTAATTAGGAGGAAAAGACATAAAGAAATATTTTCCTCGAAGGAAGGAGAAGAAAGGGAAGGAGTGTCAAAGACAACGAATGTACAGGTAAGAGGAAGGTTGAGGGGCCGGCATTTTGCTGCGGGTATAAATTTATGACGGTTTCTTCGGTAAAATTGTTCTCCTTCCTCGAAGTTGCATGTGGAGGTACCTGGTTGGCGATGAGTTGGAATTTTTTTCTCTTATAAGATAAGATACAAGTTTGGTTTTATTTGGGTCAGTTTAAAAATCATACAGGCTTATAAAATCGTATATTCTTATTTTGCCACCAAGAATAGAAATGTGTACGCAATTTCAAATTTTGACTCATTAATTATTATGTCACCTAAAACAGAATTATTACTTCTGGTAAAGAAACACGTAACGTGATCAACATGGACTGGTGAGAGTTATTACGTTCAGATTTCATCCTTCCTTTAATTAATGAACATGCATTGACCCGGCAATTAACAGAAGGACGAACGTGAAGGCATGTTAATGGTGTTTTGAGAAACTTCTGATGAGGTTTCCTTTCTGTTCCCTTTCTCAATCTATTTGCATTAAGATTTCGTTGACTTTTTTTTTTTTAATAAAAAATTTACATTGATTGCCATGTTAGAAATCATTCTGTATCAAAGCCAAACTAGAATTTTATTGGTACTCTGGCTGGAAACAGGACAGGCCTTAGCCGGAGGAAAACATTAACAATCCATAAATGCAATTCAGATTTGTGTCTATACAAATTCCTATTGTTTTCCAACGGATTATACAGTTTGTATAATGAGACGGTTTGGTGGAACTCATAAAGTATTATTCTCCCTCACAAGTTTGAAATTTTGTTAGAAAGAAACATTTAAAATTATTTTTTAAAATGCGTTTTAAACAATTATTGAAAATGCTACACATTCAAACTTTTTTCGAAATTGCTTAAAACCCACTTTAAAAGATAATTTTTAAATTTCCTTCTAACAAAATTTCAAACTTATGAGACATAAGTAGTGCTTTTAAAGCAAATGGTTTTTAAGCTCCACCAAACAGCCTCAATATCATAGACCTTCAAAAGTGATGGTTAGCTCATTGTAAGAACAGGTTCCTGGATTGCTGGAAGAAGCAAGGCTATTGGAGAACCTTTTCACAACAAAAATTGGTTGTTTAGGATTGGGAACAACTGCAGTTTCACTAGAAAGCATGGACACTACCTCAGACATAGTTGGTCAATCAGCTGCATCGTCTTGTATGCATAAAAGTGCAACCTTGATGCACTTGAACGCCTGACCTTCATTGCAACCTTGGTGCAAAGAAGGATCCATCAATTCTAATACAGTGTTTTTGCTCCACAGTTTCCAAGCCTGGTTTGACAGCAATATTTTAGACTTAGGGATAAGGAGTGAAGAAAAGGAAGGTACAAATAAATAGAATATTTTAGCACTTACATATCCTAAAAGAGTTAGAGCTTGTTCCTTGTGATAGAATAATATATATTCCTTTTTCCAGATATGATCTCCAGGACTCCAACCCCAAAACTGAAGACATCAGATTTTATTGAGAAGAGTACATCAATTCCATATTCTAGGGACATATAACCACTGCATTTCAATGTTATATTGTAAAAGACTTGTAAATTGGCAAAGAAATTCAAGGAAATATATGTTAGGGCTGCAATTTCACTTACCATGTGCCCACAACTCTGGTTGTATTTGCTTGGGTTTGCTTTCCTCCAAATATTCTTGCCATTCCAAAGTCTAAAATTTTAGGGTTCATTTCCTCATCCAGAAGAATGTTGCTGGTTTTTGAGATCTCTAATCCTCAACCTAGAATCTTGATGAAGATGTAAAAGTCTTCTAGCAACTCCCAGTATAATGTTTTAGTGCATTTGCCAATTTAAGAGTATACACTTCACGGATCTAGAAAGTTCACAGATTCAGATTCTCCTGTGTAAATTAAGAAAAGCAAAACTATAAGCTGGGTCAGGTTTATAAAAGTTCTCACCAAACACGGTGGAGTCCAAACTTTTATTGGGCATATTTTCATAATTAACCTCTTTTCTTCTTCTTCCATGCAATAACAGAGAATTCGTACCAAATTCCTATGTTGGAGTTTGGCAATCAATAGAACTTCATTCTTGGATTCCTCCAGGCCTGGTCCAGAACTTCTCAAGAGCCTTTTGACTGCTATCTCCTGCTCCCCAGGGAACTTTCCCTGTCAAATGGGTCAATTAACAATTACAAGATATGTACTTGGTTGAGTCGTTCATAAAAAAGGGATCTGGAACCAAATCTTACCTTATATAATGGCCCAAATCCACCTTGTCCAAACTTATTAGAAACTGAAAAGTCATCTGTGGCAGCTACAATCATTTCAAAATCATAAAACAGGACATTTATAGTTTTTGTCCCATCTCCTTGGAACTCATCAAATCCTACTAATTCAATCACACCATGATCACTTTCTTCATTCAGAAATGTTGATTTCCCTTCAAATGCATTCCTTTGAACTAATTTTGTGAAATCCTATTAGAGTGCTCAATGCAGATAACTAGGCAAGATGAATAGAATAAAAAATTGCTTTGTTTGGAGGAGCAAACCACTGGTTACCTTTGCTTATGGCCATCCTTCTGCAGAAACAACCTTTACCAACAACAGCAATAGCTGTGAGAACTATTCCAGCTGTAGTACTTAAAAGATATTATCAACAATAATGGTTTTCCATGCTGTTAATAACCATCTGAAAGATTCTTGTTTTCATTATCTGTAACAAGAAACATGTATAAATGTGGAGGCCATCTGTCATTGCAATATATTAACTAAAATGAGAAGTCTATACATGATCAAAAGTCTGAAGTACCGGGAATGCAATTTACAGCCTTGGAATCCCAGCAGAAGCTTGGCATGCAAAAGCACCTTCCTCTCCCAACACTTCCTCCATTAAGCTGGCAAGTTGAATTAAGCCACTGCTTGCAATCTTCCAAGGACATGCAAGTATGCTCTTGTTGCATGCACAATGTTGATGTAGTTTGTCTGTCACAGCTTACTAATCAAAACCAACACAAACTCTTTTACCAATCTTCATTTTTTATCGGAGAATTAAATTAACAAACTCTTTTACCAATAAGTAGATTTTTATAGCATTAAAAGTAAAGGCAACGCATTTGGAAATAAAAGCTAGACTTTGATCATAACTAGCAAATTTTATTACCAATGCCAACCATATCTCCTATACTTAATTGACATGAGCCCATTACTTCATCTATAGTTCCATATTTATAACTTATTAACTTTTATCTTGATCAATCTTCCACAACATAATAACCATTTTTACTCGTTTAACATGGCTTCCAAGAAAGAGGAGAATTTGTGTGAAACTTGGGAATACTCAGAACAGTGTGATTCTTCAAATGTCATACTTCATCTCAACATGAAAGAGATTGCAAGGATGAAAATGGAATATCGGAATCATAAGTTTCCAAGTCGCAAAAGAACAAGTAGACTTCATATTTTCAAGTCAACAACTACTCTTCCAAAGCAATGTATGTTCTTCGTCTTCCACTTGGACACATTTGGACAATATAGTCACCATCATCTTTTATGAAGCTTCTCCAGTTACTATATCAGTCTTAATCTATTATATTCAATTCCATTTATGGTATGTCTAATTGGTCAAAAAAATCCTTCCCCTTTTTCATTTTTCTCAAATCAGAAATAGTAAAAAGATTAAAATAAAATAAAGATAAATAAATAAACTGTTTCTCTCACCTCTCCTATGTAGCCAAAAGTGCGGCCTGCCCTCCACCGTCGCCATCTCCGCCGCAGAGTATATTGCTCCTGCTGTGACTTCCCGATAGGTCCCTCTGCTTGTGAGAGATTCTATCGCAATTTGGGTTTATGGGTATTTCAGAAATTGAACTTTTGACGGCAAATTGAGGAGCGTTTTTGGCGTCGACAAAGGAATATCAGCTAAAGCTGCGACCTTTTTTTTTTCTTCCCATAGAATTTTAGAGGGGTAATGGAAGAAATGCCGTGTAAGAGGCGATGCAAAATAGTAAGAAAGAGAAAAATTAACGTGGTCTACCACGAGCTCTCGTCGAAATGCTGCCACCAGCATATTCCGGTGACCCTCCACGGAGGCGCCAGCGAGGCGAGGACGGGTAGGGAAGGCTGTGGCTGCCTCGTGGTGGAGATGCACTGAACTGATAACTGGAGAGTGAAGACCCATGGTCCCCCAGGCCCAGGTTTTAGTCCGGACCAACTGTACATTAAAAATATATTCTTAATAATAAAATAATAAAATAATAAAATAATAAAATTACCATTAATTACAAATTTCCAAATAAAATATTTTAATAATTCCAGTATGAAAACTACTCTTTTTAGTGCAGGTGGACCTGAAAAACACCATTTTTGTTTCTTAAATGCAGACAAATGGGCTATGAAGTTTAAAGAATAAAAAAGTTGGCACTTTCCTGGAGCTGAATTTTGGGCACTCTTTTGGGCCTTATATTGCTCAGATGAATGGGCAAGGACCTCTTTTTTCTTTTGAAAAGCTTACATACATTTTCCACTATAAATAATTTAAAGAAAATCAGGATGACAAAAAAAAAAAAAAAGGGAACAAGGACTGAAGGATTTGAACCAATATATTCCAAAGCCCTAACATTTAATATTTTTCGTTAACCACTCTAACCAATACATAGAACAAAAATTCTAGTGAAGTATCTCACATCAATCCCAATAGAAGAAAAAAAAAAATGATGAAGGATATGGAACACAATAATACCATTGTAAATGGTAAGGAGAATAAGTAGTTTCATTCTAGAGGGTTTCAAAAACAAGGTAATTTAAGCTGAAAATGAAAATGAATTTTTTGCCATTAATGACAAAAATGTCATTTCCAACTAAAATTAACCTGTTTTTGAACTTGTCTCTTATTGAAAATACTTATTTTTTTCATGGTCTACAAATTGACAATAGCTTCAACCAATAATTTTTTGGAATCCTTCATCAAGGCAGGACTAAGCCTAAACATGAGAGTACAAAATTCCATCTCATTCAAAGCACCATCCCCATCCAAATCCCCTTCTCTCAACATGCAAACCACCTCTTCATTGCTCATGTCCTGCAACCCCAACAAGGCTGAGTTCTTCTTCAAGCTCTCGAACGTGATCACACCCTTCTCACCATCCATCAACAACCGGAACCCCTTAGATAGCTCTTTCATGAATCCTTCCGTGCCCAATTTCTCCACCATGGCCGGGAAGAAATCCTCAAACACGAGACCACTTTGCGGCGAAGCCATTTTCAACACACAAAGAAAGCTTGTGCGTATTATATGTAGATTGAAATTGAAAGTTTGGCTTGGTACATGGGAATGTGATTAGGGTTGTGGGGTATTTATATGAACGATATAAAGACTAAAAAGCATAAAAGTTGAAAAAGGAGGAAAGGGAAAGAAATGTTAATTCGAGGAAAGTGTTAATGGGAACAAAATAAGATAGAGATAAGAGATGTATTGTTTTGCTGCAGTTGGGTAGGGTCAAAATTCTTGGCCTTTTTTCGTCTGTGAAGTTGTATAGCTTCCTCGAAGTTGCATTGGAAGGTGCGGAAGGTCCATTGATAAAAGAAAAGCGTTTTCGTTAGAACTGACATTTTCAAAACTGAGATCCTTGACCTTTCACTTTTTTATTGCAAGTGACATTTTTAAATAATAATTAACTTTTTTAGTAGAGACGTACTTGATATGTAAGTTTAGTTGGGTTTACTTGTTTGGTAAGATGGGAAGAAAGGAATGTTAATTTGTGGTGAATACAGTAATCCCCACGTAAATGGACTATCTTTCTGATTTCATTAAATTGAAGAAGTAAATTAAATATAATATATAATCCAAGCGGCTGAATAATAATTTTCTTGTAAGAAATATTGAATTCAAGTTATAGATATATAAGGTAAATAAAATATGTGAATTATCTCTTATTATATAATTTAAAATAAAATAAATAATAATAATTTACTAAGTTTAACATAAAACACAAATGAAATTTTAGTATCATCGATAGATTAGGGTTTAATTATGTGACATATTGAATAGATATATTTATCCCTCAATCCAATGACTATGCTTTAATTGAAAACTTCACGCTTTAATTGAAAACTTCACGAGATAAACCTTCACCCAAAAAATGCTCGGCTTGATTGTGACAACTAGTTTTGAACTTTTCAAGTCTGATCCTGAAATTGATTGCCCAGGCATATTATTTTCTGGGTGTCATGAACTGGAATCCAAAGATCCAGGACACTCTTTGGCCTTCTCGGAGCCTTCACGAAATTTAATCCTGTTGTGTACATACTTTTTCTTGAGACATATATATATATGTACAATTTGTTTGGGCAGATATTTGTAGTATAATTGACAATCCTAGATGCAAGATGCAAAGAAAGTATTTATTTGACAGCCTTGTCCCTACGTTCTTCTTTCCCAGAACATTCCCACTTCATATAATAAGTTCAGGATATGGTAGTAGACACTTTTTTTTTTTAAATCACATATTTCAGTTCAAGTAAATAAGACAAACACTATGATTTGAATACAAAAATATGCAGATCAAGTCTACAGAACAGGGAATTAATTGGCTTAGTATTAGCGAAATTTTTTAATGAATAATGAAAGTTGTTCTTCTTTAGCATAGGATTGTGTGAACTAATGGAGCATCTATTTTCTCAATTGTTTGCAGCTGGACTGCAAAATGTACCGATTTAATGTAATGCTAGGAGTACAAGACAAGGATTAGACCAGTGAAAAGGAACATGCCCTGTTCAAATGTTTTCCGTAATGTAACAGTGTATGAAGCCAAACAAAGAGCTTCATGGGTACCATAAATATGGAACATATGTTGTCTCTTCATCATCCTCCTCTCTGCCACCTTGGCCGGATGCAAGGGTCTTCCATTACATGTGAAATTTAAATCTTGGACTTATGAAAATTTAGGCTCTTTTTTTTTTTTACCAAATTGATACGATTAAATCAAAAAATTATACTCCCTCTATCCTATAAATTATTGTTGTTTTTCTATTTTTTCTTCAAATTAAAGATTTGAATATTTATAAAATAAGATCTTTTAATTATAATAAATAGATAATTATATAGTTAAAGTAAAAAAATATATTTATCTTAAAAAATAACAATTAATTTGAAACAAACTCAAAAAAAAAAAAAAAAACAGTTATTTAGGAGGAAGAAGAGGTGTAAGTTTTTTATAAGAAACATTGTGCGCATAAGCCATTATCATCATAGCGCCAGTAAATGTGCAACTGGACAACGTGACATTACCGTAAAAATTGTGCATGTAATTTCAAGAAAAAATTTGTATCTAATTTAAAATAAATTGGTAATTGATGAAGTAATCTTTCTTGTATTTAACCCATAAGTTTTTTCATTATACTGGGATTTTTTCACTCAACACACACCTTTACGTGCAAGTCCGTTATAAATGTTAGCTCCTATCACTTGGTTTAACATGTCGGTATCAACTTTTAACTTTGGATTCTGGACTAACAATGGGCTTTAGGATAGAATCTGAACTTTGATACCATGTAGAATTTCAAGGAACAAAGAATACTGGTTGTATTTCTTAATCAAGACAATTTTTGTACATTAGTTTGAATAATATATATACTGATACAAATTTCAGATCCTGTAGTTTAGCCTAAAATCATGGAATATAACGTTACTTGACCGTTGCCTTTGTTTCTCCTTGATCTGTGCTCTTGGCTTGATTACTGGACGGTTGCTTGATTTCTGTAACAATGATTTCAGCTTCCTTGTTTGCTTTCTTGCCTGATTTTTGCACAGTTTCCTTGTTTGCTTTCGTGCCAGATTTCTGCAATGTTAATACTTGTGACTTTCCTTTCATAATTACAAGGCATAACACTGTCATAGTAAATTCTAGAATGTAAGAATGGTTGGCGAAAAATAATCTAATTGGTAGATAGTTGAAAGATAGAAATTGCCTTCAAATTTTTTATTGTAAGATACTTCACTTTCTTGTTTACAACGACATGTTTCTTGAAAGAATCGTTTATCACTCATAACAACCATGAATGCTTATACATAGGTTCAATTATGTAAGAACAGGCAGTTGTGTCCTGAATCGGTGGCAAAACAAGTTTAATGGGGCAGCAGAACCTCATCATTTTCCTACTCTTAATGGACTATTCCCTTTGCTCTGCCTCTGATGTTTCAATCCCTGATGACTCCACTGCCATGGCCATTCTTGCTGGGGTGCTTAACCCCATGCACCCTTCCTGGTCACAATCCAGCACCAATTGCCAATGGCCTAATGTAGATTGTGATGCTATCTACCATGTAGTCAAAATAAACCTCAGGGGCATGTCTCTCACTCAATTTTTACTGCCTGAGTTCCCAAATCTCCCTCGTCTCAAGATACTTGATCTCTAAAATAACTCCCTTTCTCTCCTCCTTATCTAGCCAACCTCATCAACTTGCAGAGACTATTTAGTCCACAACAGATTCACCAAAATATCAACATATTTCTTCCAAGGCCTCCCTCGAACTTTGGTGATCTTATCTCTTAGCAATAATCCTTTTCTAGCTTCCTGGACGATACCAGATGAACTGGTTGACTTACAAGTCTTCAAGAATTCAATGCCTCCAAAGCGAACGTTACAGGACAGCTCCCTGGTGTTTTTGGTTCTGTTCCTCTACGGACACTTGACCTTTCCCACAATAATTTGACACGGTCTCTCCCAGCCACATTTGGGACATCCGGGCTTAGAGAATTGCGGCTTCAATATCAGCAAATGGGACTTTCAGGTCGGATTGATGTATTGTACATCATGACATTTCTGAATGGGGTTTTCTACAGGGGAATAACCTTACAGGCCCTATCCCAGATTTCTCCAATTGCATGTCCTTGCACACATTTGTATTTGGACCAGAATCAGCTGATACATATATGTTCAATGGATTCATAAAGTACTAGCTAGGAGTCAACTTATTTTGGTCTGCCAAATCTATTATCCACGGATTGGTTTTCTAATATGATTGAATTAACAGGGAAATGACAACCATGAAAGTAATTATCGTTGTTGTAATCATTGTTGGAGTTAGTGGAGAGGCTACCTACTCCTAGCAACCTGCATTCACAGAAAGGAAAGCAGCCGAGTAATCTCAATCATATCAGGAAAAGATGTGTTCAGTTAACAATGTCATCATAACTACTATTGAAGGCCGATAGCAAGCTGGAGTTTTTCATTTTATTTTATTTTATTCTTTTTTCTGTGGCATGTACGGATGAATGGAGGGTGGAGAGCATGTTGGTGTTTGAAAGCAAATATTTTTTTTTTTTTTTTTTGGGATGTACAGAATCTACACATCTCAATATCAGAAAAACAGGACTTCACACAACCTCAATATTCATCAAATGGTTACTACTCACAATCAGCCACAAAAATCAGTAATATAAAAGTTCATTCTTTCTCTTTTATAAAAAGGGAGGGGAGGGGAGGGGCGGGCGGGAAGAGATTCAAACACAGCGCTTTTAACAAGATGAAAGACATTTGCCTTTTTGATTTAGTTTATTCGAAGAAACCATACCTTTGGCAAAGAAATCAGGACCAAAACCATTAAGAAGAATGATTTCATCCTTTAGGAACCCTAACAAGATGAAAGAGAGACATGGGATGGGAAACAGAGTTCAAAATAACAAAGAAAATCGTTCAACATAAAATCTAAAAAAGGAAACTATATCTTCTTAAAATTTTTATTTTTTTATTTTAGTTATGAAAAAAAAAAATAATAAAGAAACTTGCTTTTTTTATTCTAATAAAGATGAATAATTAAAATTAATTGTATGTTTAGTCTAGGGGATAAAAAAAAGAGAAGATTTTTTAATCAATTAGATTATAATACTTAAAAATGTTATAATTTAATTAGATAAAAGTCTATTCTATTTACCTCAAACTAAATATTTAAGAAGAGGAATTTACTTGCCAATAACTTACGTAACTCAGTGATCATCTTATTTCACTGGAAATAAGAAATCCTGATTCGAGTCGTATGGCATATTGGTGGGGTGGGATAAGGGATGAAAGATAATTGCATTCAATTATGCAACCAAGATAAAAAAAAAAAAAGAATCCACTTATATATAAGTCTCACATATTATATTTACACATAATTTCAATCATTTATCTTTTCATTTTTAATAATTAAGATTTATTATGATATTTTAGGTAAAAAAATAATTATTTTTAATAAATATGATAAAAAGTAAATAAATCTTAATCATTAAAAATAAAGATATGAATAATTAAAATTTTATATAAATATAATATATAAAATTTACATGTAAGTAAATGCCTAATTAACATTTAATGTGATTTTTACTTACCATTTACTGTGATTTTTAATGTGTAGGGCTTCAGGACGTCCTTATTTTAATTTTTCTCTTTGTATCAAATATTGAATAAGGAGCTCACCAGCACTGAGCTACTGGTCTGCCACTCCTCAACAGATTAACGGGCGCTCCAGTCAGCCCAACTCACAACAAGGCCAGGGCAATATAAAATTAATAATGGTGGGCTAATAGGCAACCCAATTACATAAACAAGAGGCGCAATTTTAATTCTAGGCCCAACAATCCAAGCAACGTCATGAGCCATGACCATGACCTGCCACCACCAATCGTGCACTAATTCGGGCCTACCATATCCCTTTTGAATTCCGATAATTGGCTCGTTGACACTGGAGGAAATTATCATGTGTGACAACGAACTTGCTCATCTTGAACTCCACTCTGAGTATCATATGAATGAATTATAAATTGGAGATAGTACAGGATTAAAAATCACACATGTGAGTCATACCTTACCTTCTACACCTTATTCTTCAATTCTTTTGAAAAATAACCTTATATGTACATAATGCTTCCCACAATTTAGTTTCAGTACCTCAATTGTGTATGCGGAGAAAGTTTTCATTGAATGACCAACAATTTTTTATGAAATGCAGTGGTTAATATGCAATGAAAAGGATATTCTCAAAGAAATTTTGGTACTAAACTCTCTCAGTATTAAAAACCACATTAGTTTTTATTAATTTAGAATTGAGTTAGGTTAGACTTCATAAGATGAAAACTCTTTTAGCGTTCATTTCTCTATCCATAAGACTTCAATTTGACATTTTATTTAAAAGGAACCAAATTTTTTCTATATGATTGCACATCTTCAAACCACCTATAAATTAATCATTTACCTTTTTTTAAAATAAATTTATTTAGATCCATGGAAACATCATATTCTTGATTGGAAAAAACGCTTCAAAATTATAGCAGGAATTAATTTGTCAGGGTCTACTCTATATTCAAAAAGAATTTGAATTCCCAATTATACATAGAGATTTAAAGGCAAGTAACATTTTATTGGATGAAGAACTAAATTAAAAAATTTTAAATTTTGGATTGGCAAGGATTTTTAAGGGCAATCAATGTTAGGCAAATACGAGGAGGATAGTGGGAACATAGTGAGCTTCTAATTCTTTATTCACCTTTAAGATTTCAAATTATTGTTCCGAGCGATGATACTTTTTTTTTTTCTTGTCACATGTCAAATTTGAAATATAGCGGTTACATATCACTTGAATATGCAGTGTATGAAAGATTTTTAGAGAAATCCGATGTGTTTAGCTTTGGGGTGTTGGTATTAGAGATTATTAGCAAAAGAAAAAACACAAGTTTCTACAATGATGAGCAATCTTTAAGCCTCTTGTAACATGTAAGTCTAACTTGTTAACATAGAATCTTATAGGAAATATCTAACGTAGGTGTAGAAGAAAACTTTAACTTTTGGATTTTTTATATAGGCCTGGAAGTTTTGGGAGGAAGGGAACATTTTGGGTTTAACAGATCCAGCAATCCCTGTTACGAGGTTTTACTCAGAAATTTCAAGATGCACTCATGTGGGCTTACCGTGTGTGCAAGAGTTTGTGGATGATGGGCCAAACATGTTCACTGTAACCTCAATGCTCAATAAAGAAATTGTGAAGCTACCTACTCCTAAGTAACCTGCATTCACAGAAAAAGGGAAGCAGCCATAAGGAAGCCTCAATCAAGTGAAGAGATGTGTTCTGTTAACCATGTCACCATAACTATATTACCGATGAAGGTGGCAGATAGCAAGCTAGTTTTGCTTTTTTGTTTTTGTTTGTTTGTTTTTTCAGCATTTGCAGTGGAATGGATGATAGAGAGCAAGCTAGTTTTTGAAAGCAAGTTTAGGCACTGTAAATTGCTGAAGTGAATACGACATATGCTATTTGAAGGAGCAATATCACAGGCTACTAATTTGGGATTATTTTCCTCAATTGAATATGGATTACCAACCACTCGCAATCAGCCACCCAAATCCTTATGTATGTCTAGAAATGGAAATCCTTACAAGTTTGATTGGGAAGATTGAAAGTAGAATTGATAATGCAAGGTGCAAGAAAATATTTTTGGAACACCAAATAATAATTTATATAATAGGAAATAATCATTCCTTTTCTTAAATTTCTTCTCACAAATCCCAAAGTTCGAACTTTACTTAAAACCTCCAAGTTTTTAACGGGTGAAACATCCCTAAGACATAAGCCAACTCCTTTGCCAAATATTCTATTGCATTACGTATGAAATTTATACCTCAGATTTCTCTTCTGAAAAAATTAGGGTTTTTTCTTTTTTTTTTTTTTTTTTAAGGAATAATGGATACAAATGAGTTGAAGAATTCTAGGTTTTTACAAGAAACGTTGTGATATTCCACATAAACCATAAAGAGCAATAGGAATTTAACAATTAAAAGATGGGGTGGTGAAGTGTGTACATTTTTTTGTACAATTTTTTTGTGTAACTTCCACATATTATTAAATGAATAGATATATTATATATCATAAATCTTAATAAAATAAAAAGAGTTAATAATTAAACAAATATAAAAACTGTATAAAAAAATTATACAAAGAAATTATCTTTTAATTGTATTTTTAAAAGATAGAAATTGCCTAGAATTGAGCCGAAGAATTCTAGGTTTTTACATTACAAGAAATAGTATTTTATCCTCAATTCTAGAATGTAACAATGGTTTTTGAACCAACAGCCTATTAATTCGAAAGAAAAGGGTTCATTTTCCTTAAATAAAGTTTTGAGTTTAAATTTTGTCAACAAAAAAATAAGTACCGAGAGAACTTCCTATAAGAAGGATCCAATGCAGCTCAAAATTGGAAGCCAATATAACTTTCGAATACCAGACGTTAGTAAAAAAACACTCCTATAGTCATTGGTAGATTTTTCTTCTTCGGCCATCCTCATTGGTAAACAATTAAAAAATAGAATTTGCCTTAAATGTTTTATTGTAAGACACTTCACTTTCTTGTTTACATCAACCTTGAATCCTCCTTATACAAAGATTTCAGTGATGGAAGAACAAGCAGTTATGTCCTGAATCCGGTGACAAAACAAGCTTGATGGGAGAGGAGCAGCTCATCATTTTACTACTCCTACTAGTCTCTTCCCTTTGCCATGCCTCTGATTATTCAATCAATGATGACTCAGCTGCCATGGCCA